ACCTCAAAGGCCTACCGAAAAAAAAGTGTTCTGAATCCGCCGAAATCGAAGGGTTTTGTCGGGGACAACACGATCTATATGAATCCCCAAGAAGGCCCATGAAAATCCAAACTTGGCCTCAAACCCAAACTCAAAACTTGGCCAAAAATGGTTTCTAATAAGGGGTAATGGTAGAACACGACGAGGCGAACAACAAATGATAAGGCCGAAGGATTTCTACCAAGGAAATCAAGTGGAGGAGAAGAAAGAGTGAAGGCAGCCCCTTGGGCTCCTATGGCTGCCAGCCAAGAGGAGGAAGAAAGTCTGAAATTCTGATTTTAAAAATTAGGGCAACCTATTTATAGAAATCTCAAAAAGTGTCCCGAAAGGGCTCCGCCGGGTTCGAAAAAGTGAAATTTGAGCAAACGCACTCAAATGGCAAAACTTTGTGAATGAAAAAGATTCAAAATGAGAAAATATGAACAACGGAAGAAACGGCGTCAAAAATCGAGTCCCGAGAAGAAAGTTATGCCCCAAATAAGTTCAGTGGCAACCGGGTCCAAAAACTCTGAAACTGGAGAAAAAATGACCAGAACGGAATTCTATGAATTTACAAATCAACAAAAAGTGAAAATGAATCCCGTATGAGGATCCAAGCTCCAAACGAGACATTTTGCAATAACTTTCGTTGATTGCACAATGGCCCCTACAAAAAGGGTTAACTGCGAAACTGCCCCAGAATGAAAATATCTTCCAAAAGATATTTTCTTAGATGCCCCTAAAATAAAATATCTTCAAAAGATATTTATGAAAAACACCCCAAGAAATGAAATTAATTCCAAAGATTTATGCATTCATGCCCCTATGGGCACCGGGAGTAACCAGAGTACTTTCTTGCAAAAGTAAAGATACGTATTTCGTGGAAACCACTCACGATAAGGATACGTGAAGTCAAAAACCAACTCCGAGCTTGAAAAGTGAGGTTGTGCCAAAAACTGACAAACGGAGATAAGACGAAATAGGGAAAATGACAGATAGGGAAAAGACGAAATAGCGCATAGTGTCCGAAAAACGAAAAATGCAAAAATGACTCGGTCCTCAAAGGAAGTTGTCAATTCACATGAAAGAGTCTCAGAAACCAATTCTGAGCACTAAAGATGACACTGAGTGGCACGAAACAGAGCTCAGAAAAGAAAATTAAACGAAAAAAAATTCGTTCGTAAAATTTCAGGAAAAATGAAAGGAAGGCAAATGATCGGGTCGTTACAGAAGGCAGCCCCTTGGGCTCCCATGGCTGCTGACCAAGAGGAGGAAGAAGGTCTAAAAATCTGATTTTTAAAAATTAGGGTAACCTATTTATAGAAATCTCAAAAGGTGCCCCGAAAGGGCCCCGCCGGGTCTGGAAAAGTAAAATTTGAGCAGACGCGCTCAAACGGAAAAACTCTATGAACAAAAAAGATTCAAAATGAGAAAATATGAATAACAGAAGAAACGGCATCAAAAACCGAGTCCCGAGTAGAGAGATATGCCCCGAACAAGTTCGGCGGCATACGGGTCCAAAAACTCTAAAACTGGAGAAAAACGACCAGAAAGAAATTCCAAGAGTCAATGACTCGACGAAATGTGAAAATGAATCCCGTACGAGGATCTAGGCTCCAGACGAGACATTTTGCAATAACTTTCGTTAATTGCACAATGACCGTTATAAAAAGGGTTAACTGCGAAACTGTCCCAGAATGAAAATATCTTCCAAAATATATTTTCTTAGATACTCCTGAAATAAAATATCTTCAAAAGATATTTATGAAAAACATCCCAAGAAAATAAAAAGATTCTAAGGAATTGTGCATCCATGCCCCTATGGACACCGGGAGTAACCAGAGTACTTTCTTGCAAAAGTAAAGATACGTACTTCGAGGAAACTACTCAAGATGAAGGCACGTGAAGTCAAAAACTTCGAGCATGAAAAGTGAGGTTTTGCCAGACAAATGACAAACGAGGAAAAGACAAAATAGGGAAAAAGACGAAACAGCGAAAATGACGAAAGGCGCATAGTGTCGAAAAACAAAAATTGCGAAAATGACTCAGTTCTCAAAGGAAGTTGTCAATCCATGGAAAAGGGTCTCAGAAACCAATTCCGAGCACTCGAGATAACAATAAGCGACAAGAAACAGAGCTCAGAAAGGAAAATTAAACGAAAAAAATTTATCCGCAAAAATTTTAGGAAAAAGGAAAGGAAGGCAAATGACCGGGTCGGTACAGATGTTCCAACATGTCAATGTGAATAATCCCCATCTCTAAGACTACCACATCTCAACTCAGTTCTAACATGCTTGAGCAATGAAATATATACAAAATCCCTATTTTTTTTTTTTTTACTTCATTTCAACATATAAATTGATACATGTATCTCTTCAAAAAAAAATCTAACATGTATAATTATACAATGCAAAAATAAAGAAGAATTGATTTGAATTGAATAATCTCAAAAAGTGTATGAAGTGGACGTCCCAACATATTAATGTGAATAATCCCCATATCTAAGATTACCACATCCCAACTCTATTCTAGCATGCTTGAGCAATGAAATATATACAAAATCACTTTTTTTTTTTTTTTAAACTTGCATCTCTTCAAAAAAAAAAAAAAATCTAACATTTATAATTATATAATGTAAAAAAAGGAAGAACTGATTTCAATTGAATATTCCCAGAAAGTGCATAAAGTGGACATCCTAACATGTCAATGTGAATAATCTACATCTCTAAGACTACTGTATCTTAACTTTATTTGAACATAGTTGAGTAATGAAATAAATATTTCAACATACAAATTGATACACGTATATCTTTTAAAAAAAAAAAAAAAAATCTAACATTTATAACTATACAATGCAAAAAAGGGAAGAACTGATTTGAATTGAATAATCCAAAAAAGTATATTAAGTGCACATCCCAACGTATTAATGTAAATAATTCCCATGTCCAAGAGTACCACATCTCAACTCTGTTCTAACGTGCCTATCCAATGATATGTATACAAAATCCCATATTTTACTTTATTTAACAATATGAATTCATACAAGTATTTAGAATCAGTAGTTGATCGCAAATATTATACCCAACTTTTATTAGGGCAAAATAAGAGATAGAACATTTAATAGAGTCCAAAAATTAAAACTAAAAAGCATACCAATATCAGTTGTGAATGTGTTGCTTGAAAATCATTACAAAATTCTTCAACTTTATCTTCAAAGATTCAAAGAAGAGAATCAAATGGTCCACAAGTTTAGCTTGTACCTTGTGAAAAGAAAGAAATGGGTCACAATAATAACTCTGTGATCACTTTTCCCTTTGGGATTGTGTAGAGAGAGAGAGAGAGAGAGAGATATAGTGTGTGTGTGTGGAGAGAAAAATTGAACATTTTTGGTGAAGAAGATGAAAAAAATGCGGGGGTTTGAAATTTCAAATACAACTCAATTGTTGCCTTTTCAATTGTTGACTGGTGGACCTGTATGTACAAGAGCCAATAAACAAATATAGTATTGTATCTTAATACATTACTTTGTTGCCTTTTCAAATTTTACCTTCTGTATTTAGTTTTGTATTTTAGTCACCGACTGGGACATATGTCCTGTAGCACCGGAGACAATTTTTGTCCCTTTGTGGGTTGCTCGGTCCAAATTGAAGTATTATAGCAGGTCTATTTTTTTATTTACATGCCTAGATGAACTGATTTCTCTATCTATAGAAACCAATGCTACAAGTCAATTAGTTTTGTTTTTATGGCAAGAATGTTAGGGGTTAGTAGTTAAGGGGAGGGGGAGGGTGCAAGGCTCAAACACAGACTCCTAAACACGAGGAGCAACCCAACCACTCAGACAAATAGACACTTGCCAGGTCAATGAGTTCATGTTGCAAAATGTTTATTTTTCTGTTGAGAGATGGTTGAGATACAAATATAGGCACATATTTCGCGTATGACAATAGGTTGGAGATGTAAATATAGGTATATGCGTAATAACATGTTTTAGATATGGAATGTGACTATTGTTTTATTTTTACTATTAAATAAAGACTTATAACTCACTCAATGGTGTGTGAATTTAAATTACTTAATTTTGTATCCCTTAAATTTCAAATTGTAGAAGTCCTTTGGTATGATTAATTTTGTCTCTTAGAATTCTCAATTGAACAGGAGTTAACAATTAAACTTATTAATTTTTTTAATATAAAAATTAATCAATTTTGTGTTCCTTAGAATTTCAAATTGTAAGAAACATCTTTTATTTTTACACGCATGTCTCCACTGAGACTCGAACTCCCGATTTCTTTTTGAAAAATAAGAGTTTGGTACGTTTAGACCACAAGCCTATTAGTAATTAAACGACATTTTATGTAATTAATTATATATTTTTTAAAATTCTTAATTGAATAGGATTTATTTTGTCTCTTATAATTCCTAATTGAATAGAAGTTAACAGTTAAACTTTTTAAAAATGTATATAAAAATAAAAATTGCTCATACTTTAGTGCTGTATAGTAGGTATAGATATAGCATATGTTTTAATATGTATATATGTGTAACCCATTAATAGAGTTATTTACAAATATGAATATAAATATTAAAACTACACTTTTATTAACATCTATCTATGGAAGGCCTAATAGCCTAGTAGTATTTATTTGTCTTTCAAAACAGAAAATTGAGGCTACGTGTAAAATGAGTGTGTGTTTCATGCCTAAAAAAAAAAAAAAAATCAACGGATCAAAATTGCCTCCTGGTCAAAATTTTGACCATTTTTATTTATTTATTATTATTTTTTTATAAACATACCAAAATACTCTTATGAGAATTTTAGGTATTTTTTAAAAATAAAATAAAAAAACAAAGCATAAATTTTTTTGTGGCTTTTATTAAATATTTTAAAAAAATGACATTATTTATTTATTTTTGTTTTTTGTTTATATATTATTTATCTTTTTAATTATTTTTTATTTTTATTTTTGTCTTATCATTTGAAGAATTGTGGATCGGCGTGTTGTTTTGAACACCAAGGTCCATTAACCGATTTTCCTTGGTGTTCGGCCTAAATATCTTTCACTCGGCACAGGTTAGGGTTTAGTTGAATCTTTCTTCTGAGAGTTTAAAATGGCAACAGAAGCGAAGGTAGTCAGTGAAGACGCAAAGATCGACCTATTCGAGGACGATGACGAGTTCGAAGAATTCGAAATCGATCAAGGTATTTTATTTTTTATATTTCAATTAATAGACCCAATTCACCCGGTGTAGTATTTTGTTTGAAACGTTTTCATGATATCTTCTTAATTTTGTAATCTTTAGTCAGGCAGACAATTTCGTAGCGTACAAGCCGCAATCTGATATCTTGTAATCTTTAGTTTTTTTTTTTTATTTATTTATTATTTATTTATATTTATTTTTAAATTAAGAATAATTTCATTTGGTGTTTTTTACGTTCTCTAGCATAGTAATATTTACAATTTACACACTGATTTAATGGGATTGCTTCATAATGTGAATGTGCTGGATTGGTTTGGTGTGGGAATAAAGTGAACCAAGTTCATAAAACGATCACACAATGTAGTTAATCTTTTTATTACAAGTACTATTTTATCACAATGGTTAGCATTGCTTCTTGGCTGACTGAAAATTCTTTTCTATTTTTTCGAGCCATTCTTGTATTGTTAATTGATTTAACACACAAGGAGGTTGATCACACGGTCAATCCAATTATCATACCAAATTGAACTTTATAATTATATTGTAGTACAAATATTTTTAATAGTTGATTGTTTGTATCTAAGAGGGCGGATTTGACCTGAAGGTCAACCTTTTGAAACAGGAAAAGTTGTCGGAGTCCCGTGTTCTGGTCTAGCCAATGAATTATATGTCTGTATCTGTTTCAATATCCAGCAAATGAATTATTTGTATGTAGACTTCAATATTTTTAGGTTGTCTTTGTTTAATTAAAATCTTATGTATTTATAAGTGATAGATTAGATAAGAGAACGTAAATTGAATAGGATTGACACTCGACATCTTCATATTATATGATGGGTTTTGGTGCCATCTTCAACATTTATAATTTAGAGACATTGTTTACTTTGTCTGTTTTCTCTTTGTTGTTTTTGAGTTGCACTTCTGTTTAGTCCCTTCGTCACTCATTAGTAGAACCTTATTCCCTACAAAATAAAGAGTAAATTACCCTAACCTCCTCTGAGGTTTGGGCATTAAACATTTTAAAAAAATATAGTCAACCTCCTTTGACGTTCTGGTCAATTACAGAATCCCCCATTCCATTAGGTTGCCGTTAAGCCCATTAATAACGTTGGTTAACCACTTAACCTTGAATTTTAGGATCACACTACCTTTTTTCATATGCGTAATTACTTTAGTAGTAAAATATTAGAAAATAACCAAGTAATCTTGTATTTTAGGATCACAGTACCCCTTTTCATCTGCGTAATAACATTACTTGCTCTCACATCTTATAATGTACAATCCCATAACTCTTATTGAAGGAGCCATCTAAGTTAAACAATCATATGCACCATCTCTCATTTTCTCTCTTTCTCTAATATTATATTTCACATCTCTCTCTCTACGTATATATGTATATACGTAAATATATATACATATACATGAACATACATGTGTCTTTCTCCACTCTCCATTCTCCATTCTCCATTCTAGGTGATTGGACATGCCATTGGTGATATATTGCTTAATTGGAAAGAACCCTAGGGCGTATTGCTTAATAACACAGACAGTGTACATAAATATGTATCCTATATAATTGCAATAATAAGTAGTATGGATTACATGTTGCTAAAATATAGCTTAGACATTCAAAATATCAAGTAGGCATACAACAAAGAAACACCTAATTGCCCATTATAACTGGCTGTCAGGTTCACGAATTTTTTCATTGTAATTGTGTTCACATTATTCTTCACCGCAAATACCTGGCCATAGAAGCTCAAAATCCTAACCCTCTCATCCTATTCTTCACAATGATTGCATTCATGATCAACCCGTAAACTCAGATCCATGAAGATTCCACATATATCGTTCTTTACTCTTCCATGGTTTAGGATTTCGCAAAAGAATAACTTTTTATTTGATTGATAATCATATAAAGCCGCAATATTCATACTGGAAATTATGATCAAGGATTATTGGGCCGAAGAAGCAATGTCGCTCGATCTTTATCAAAAAGTATAGGATTTTCCATTGCACGAGGGTTTCCAAATGAGACGATGTCAAGCGTAGGTAGGTTCCAGAAGGTTATATAATGTGAACTAGAGAGAGAGAGAGAGAGAGAGAGAGAGAGAGAGAGAGAGAGAGAGAGAGAGAGAGAGGGGCAGTTCTGGGCAAATGCAAACTGATATAATTTTGGTTAATATCACTTGAGGGCCTTTTTGTTATTCTGTATTGTGTCAAAGTGACAACATTCAGTCATGATATTTGTACAAATATGCAATATTAGTTGTATGAGAAAATGGTAAATTAATAAAAGTTAACCACCATTCCTTTGAGTAACTACAACAGGGGTGTGACAGTGACTACTCAAAAAGTTTAATTTGAGGCTAATTAACTTAAACCTCAGTGGAGGTCAGGGTCATTTACCCTAAAATAAAAATAGGGAAACAAGGGGAAAGGAACTTTAAATAGATAATGACATATTTAATGCTATATTTTCTTATCATACATTAATTGTTTGTGTATGTCTAGTTTATTTTGTTTAGTGCCAAGCTCTCCATTTCTTTTAGAGGTGGCATTGACAACTCTTGCATCAACATTAATCTTCTCTTTGGAAGAACAATGCTGAGTCGTAACTTCCATTGAAGCATCGCTTAATGTTGAAGGCTCTGCAGCATTCTGAACCTGTGTTTCAAAATATAGCTCTCCATCAATTGCTATATTTTCTCATCCCACTATAAATATTATGCCTCCACCGAGGCTCCAACACTCAACCTCCCCATTTGGGGAGGAGAGTTTATATCATCTGGGCTAGTGCCCATTGGTAAAAAGGAGGTTGTATGATTATTTTATATACTGCGGTAAATTATTTTTTGTTGATTAAAAGACTAGAAAATGAAAAAGAAGTATCTAACTTGGATAAGGTTTCATTAGTGATTGCACGGCTCATCACTATACTAAATTTGGTGAGAAGTTGAGTTTTTCCATGGTTACGTGTGGGTATGGAAATATATCCAAGAGAAAAGCTTTTTCTTAGTTTGTCCTTTTGACTTGTGAACTAGGATGTTAGCAAACAATGAGATTAAGATTATTGCTCAACTATTTGAATCTTTCTGAATCATTGAAAATTTTGAAGGATCTTGAGAAGCAACCTGCAAACTGTGTTATGAAGGAGAAGATGAATGTAGATTTTGGTTCTAATTTGGTATCAGAGAAAAGAATCAGAATTCCAACGCCACCAAATTTGGGATTGAGATAAAAACCTAGAATCATAATCTGTGATGTGAATGAAACATGGAATCAGAATAGAAGGCATCCCAAATCTTTTATCCCACAAAGCCCATGGGTCACAAACCAAAAAGCCCTTCATCCAATATTCCTACATCCACTTCTTCAAAAGATTACAGTTTGACCAGTTTTGCATACTAAAAACCTGTCCTAAGTACATATGTTTTTAGCTAAGAGTAGTAAGTAAAAAGCACAGCCTTTTGAAACTAAGGATGAGGAACTGATTGTTGTTTTGTGTATTAAGAGAAAGAGGAAAATTGTAGGGAAGAGGGCCAATTCAGGATTAGACGGATAATCACCTTTAACTAAAAATAGAGAATGGGAGAAGTTGAAAACTTGAAATATGTTGGCTTCTAGGCTCAAAAGTGAATAGAATTTGGGCATCCAAACCAAACACTAATATCCGGAGAATGAATTTGATCAGCCTTTAATTTATTCAGGCTTTTATCTACCAGTGTAATTTTCTATTTAGCAGCGTCCCCAAACACAATTTTGAGAAAATTAGAAATACAAAGAGAGAAATCCAGAGAGAGAAGGGAGAGGTAGATTGTCGAGATTGAGAGACCTGTGATTGCCTTTTTCATTGGAGATATGGGACACAACAAAAAAGTGTCCAGATGAGGGAGCCTAGAGGATTTGTTATGCCAGCTATGTATAATATATATATTTTTTTGATAAATAAGCAATTCATTAAAAAAGCGTTTAAAAGGGGAATGCGTCCCTAACAAAACCACAAAAATTTGGGTACCCTAAGGCCCCAGGGAAGCCAAAAACTCAATAGTCTCCTCAGCAGAAGAGCAGAGTCTACCCGAACCTCCAAAACAGAGAGAGCTAATAACAGAAGGTTTCAGAACACTGATGGAAGATTCCTTTGCTTCAAAGGATCTTCTATTCCGCTCCCTCCACAGACAGCACCAAAGACACAGAGGCACCATCCTCTAGAACCCTCGAGCTTGTGCTCCCACCCAACCCCCTCTCCAGGTTTCGGGTGTCCATCAGACCTCTCGTAGATCTAGACATGACTCAATAAACTCCAAATAAACCTAGCAAAAGATTCCAACAATCAATCGCCACTGGACAATGCAAAAGAAGATGATCAACCGACTCGCCATTGCACTTACACATGCAACACCAATTCACTGTGATAAGCTTTCTCCTTCTCAAATTATCTAGTGTCAAAATTTTATCCCACACAACCATCTTAGCAAAAAAGGCCACTTTCAATGGCGCCTTAGTTCGCCACACTGCCTTCCAAAGGAATACCACCCCATCCGAATCCAAAAGGCATCCGAAAAAAGATCTCACACTAAACATTCCCCTAGCAGAAGAAATCCAAACAAGAGAATCCCTACCTCCTCTCTGGATCACCTGGCTATGCAACAACTCTAAAAAACCAAAAACATCATCCATCTCCCAATCCTAAAAAGATCGCTGAAAAAGCACATCCCAAACCGGTCTCCCGCTATCAAGGCGATAGCAGTCCGCCACCAAGGCATGCCTATGCACCTCAATCCTAAACAGTCTAGGGAAGGAGCATGCTAAAGTGCGGTCTCCACACCACGCATTCTCCCAAAACTGAATCTCCCTACCATCACGAACTCTGAATCTGAGATGCTTAGAAAACTCATTCCATCCCTTCCGAATGTCTTTCCAAACACCAACACCTCTAGGTAAAGACACCACAGTTGAGCACACAACACCCCCCCCCCCACCAACACCACACACACACAC